TTCTCGATCCTGTCACGGCTCCAATCCTCCATCGCTGACTGGCGGAATGGACGGAGGAGGGGGCGGGTACAGCTGGCTCGGCCTCTTGATAGGCAGAGCCAGCTGTCACTCACGCAGCTGGGCGGATCCAGACATAATTGTCGGCATCCGTTTCAGCTGCGGCTTCTCGGTATACTGCTCGCTGTAGCTCGCTGTATACTGAGCTTAGGGTGACGGGAGGACGCTAGTTTGTGTCCTCCCGTTACCCTTAGGAGAATTATGGTGAAAAGCCCTAACCCCGTAGTTCTCCTTTAAAGTCTGTCAGACCTCTTCTTCAAAATCTTCACTGTCAGGTCCTGCTCCTGTCGTGCCTGGGTGCCACAATGTCTATTCGTTCCAATGGGGAGCTTGTACTCTACCGGGAAAGTGAAATATAAGATCTCCATTGGAATTGATGGCTATTGTGGCATGCATATGTGGCCTCTGGGCTGGCCGCATAGGATGAAATAAGCAGAATGGGTACAGCAAAGTGTGTGATTGCTGAGGTCATGAAGAAGGGCATTGGAACCCACTAAACATAGTAACCCCATTTTGTAAACACTTTGTAGGCTAGGCTGATATTTTTAGCCAGGACATCAATATAATTAACTATGTAAATAATATTCACTACCCATATCGCTATGTGCTTATACTAGATATATTTATATGAGTGTCTGCTCTACCCAGCCGAGAATATTTTGATTTTGCTTATAAGTATGGGGTTAGTTTCCAACAATCTGAACAAACAGTTCACTATGGCAGGGCTGGACAAATCCCAAGAGCCAGGTAGCCCTTGCTCCTTACAAATCACAGCTGGTACCTAACTTTTGAGGTTTCTTCTAGTTGTTGTCAATGGAGCTGGCTGCTAAACAAAATCCTATTGGCTCCTAGATTGGACAGACTGGCTCCTGAATTCCATAATAATTGTCATCCCCTGCATTATGGAATGTTCACATAGACAGGGAATTTAGAAAGTGGATTATTTTGCTAACCTAACTTAATATATTAATTTCAACAAAAACGCACAAAAGTGAAATTACCCTTTTAAAGAAGAATTCATGGCAGCAAATAAAACCAGCCCATGAGCTGCTAAGGTGGTCCAGGCACACTGTTACTACTACCGTATACTGGTCCTGATGACCATATCAAGCATGTCATCCCATTTAGCACACAGAGAATGTAAATGGGGCCTGTCACAGTATCCGCAATAAAAAACGGTTACAATCTGCCCCACAATCAGATTGTATTACAGTATCTGAGCTGTTCTGCTTTGCCTGTTTGTGTAGATAAGGTTCCTGAGGCTGCTCAGAGATGGACATATAACTTGAAGAATGACAGGTGTTCTCAAGAGTTTTTGAAGCTGAAACTCTTTGCCAATGGGTACAGTGGTGCACATGTGCCAGGGGTAGGCAACCTTGCCCCAGTTGTGGTGAAACTACAAATCCCATGAGGCATTGCAAGACTCTAACAGCCACAGGCATGACTCTCAGAGGCATATTAGGATTTGTAGTTTCACCACAGCTGGAGTGCCGAGGTTGCGTACCCCAGGATTAAGCTGTCCTTGAGAGTTTTCAACAGTTTGAAAAAAAAATCAGTGTGATAACATACACCTCCAATGGCCAGAAGAGATCAGTATCACCCCTATGGCAGTCAAGACCCCTGACTGTGACAAGCAATGGCTGAATCAGGAGCACCATTCTGTCTTCCATTACTCTGTAGCAGTACACAGAGTTTGCATTCTCCTAGCTAACAAATGCTTTTCACATATGAAAACATCGACATGTACTATAAAAAAGCATCTGTATTTTCTGTCATATTCAAACCTGTCCTGGAAAATGCACATTTAAAGTACCATCCTCAGGCTGGTTATAAGGGAGCAATGCGGAAGGTAATGAGTTCAGACATTTTTGATAAATAAGAGCCTAGGTGATGTGCTACACAATCAAATTGCTTTGCAGCTAATGTTCTCTGTTTCTGTGGTTGAGCTTTCTTTTTGCATACATCCTAGACGAGCCAGGCAGGCAATGCATCTAAAAATTCCAGCTGATGCCTAAAATGTTGTCTTTTCTGTTTTCTGTGGGGAGCGTGTCTCCCAGCTGGCTTTGGCGTTGAATCGTTTGCTTTCCCGTCTTCTAAACTGCAATGTCTGCTGATGATATCAGTGCAGTGCTGGGGGTGCCTTGCAGATTGAATAAAAATTAATTCAGGCATTTCGTATTCTAAAACATCACAATGACTACATTTTGCACCGTGAGACCAAAATAAAGGCTATCCCTAACCTAAGGACAGATTAGCAGTCCTTAGATATGGTGTCTGGTGATCCTGTGAATAACACACTTCCTCCCCTGGGGTGACAACACTCACTCCTCTGTCTATAGCTGACCATACACCTGTAGATTATTTGCAGATTTTCTATGGTCAGATGGAAAAAGTGCAACAGATTCCTCCATCTACGCTAAACTGTGTGGATTGAGGAATCCAGACATATCAACTCTCCCGGATGTTCCGGGAGTCTCCCACTATTAGATAGCGGCTCTCCCAGAAAGGTTTACTCTGCTCGATCTATTATTATTATTATTACATAGTATTTATATAGCGCCAACAGTTTGCACATCGCTTTATAATATAAGGAAAACATTACAATCATAATACAATTCAAGACAAGTTGGTAAAGAGGGCCCTGCCCCTGAGGGCTTACAATCTAAAGGGGAGGGGCAAGTGATACATGAGGAGGTGGCTGTGTGTTGATAAATTGTTTGAGAATGTGATGGTTCAGTGGTTAGGTTGAGGTGGGATCTAGCAGAGTAAACCTTTCCTTGCTGTCTGGTTTTTTTCTCTGACATCGGGGCCGCCGGCCGCTGTCAATCAGAAAAAAAAAAGTCATGGGAACTAATAGCTAGTGATAAGTTGAAGCCATGATTTGATACAAGATGGAGTCAGATTTTGAACAGAAGATGAACTCATGGCTTATTGATTCTGTAAACATGTTTTCTCTCTTTTTGTCTCACAAATCTTTTTCGTGTGAACGGACATTATCTCATGTTCCCTTTTATCCAACTATTTAGTAATTAAGCCAAAACAGGAAGATGTTGATTTATGGTTTGACGTCAATATATGTATTTCTTAGAAACCATTAATTATCAATAGCTGGTGACAGGTCAGGGTGACTGTCAGCTGGTGACAGGTCAGGGTGACAGAGGGCATCCCCCTGAAATGAGAAGGGCACCTCCCTGAAATGACTTATTTCAGGTTGGGATCCCTGGAAATCTCCAAATGGGCCAAGCTTCAGTATCTTGCTAGTCGGGCCTGCTGGCTCTCAAAACACCTGAACAATGTCTTCATCCAATCAGACTGTATTTTGAGAGCCAGCAGGGCCAACTGACAAGATACTGAAGCTTGGCCCAGTGGGACATTCCTCCATCCACACAGTTTAGTGTAGATGGAGGGATCTGTTGCACTTTTTCCATCTGATCATAGAAAATCTGCAGAAAGTCTATAGGTGTATGGCCAGCTTTAGGAGGGTGCCATGGTCAGGTTTCAGGCCACTACAGAAAATATCTGTATCTGTTGCACTTGCCGGTAATGCAGTGACCTTGTCACTTCCTGTGAGCTGAACTGAAAGCACAAACAATGTTATTTTACCCATGTAACCTACTACCCCCCATGCAATTGGGATGAAAAGAGGAAGACAAATTTGAAGCCAAGCCTAGGTGACAACCATGGCACCTGCCGTAGATAGAAGAGTGAGTGTTGTCGCTGGGAGGGGGCAGGGTGCTGCCAGTGTATGGTCGTTCTAGGGGGATGGGTTATGTTAGGGGGGTTCTTTCAGCGAATGTTTGTCCCGGGGGTGTGTGTGCTGTCAGCGGTTCTCTCCGGCTTCCCACACAGCTCACTGACATAACTGGTTACCAGGAGCTTGGTGGGAGGCCAGCCTGAGCGTCCTTCTCAGCTTCTGCCAACTGGCGGCATCAGAGAGCTGGGTGGGAAGCCAGACAGAGCGCCAAAGGTTTCTAAGAGCTCTTGGCAACCTAGGACGCTGAGCTCAAACAGTCCCCGCCCTCCCCACACACACACAGTAGGTTACCTGCTGCCTCCCAAAGAGATGCCGCCTGAGGCAACTGCCCAGGCTGCCTCATTGTAGGGATGCTTGAAAGAGAGACAACTCCAAACAGTAGGAACCACAAAATTGAGGGCAAAAAGTTCCAGGAGAGATCCGACTGAGTGTAGTATTTTATATTACATAGCTATAGATACGTTTTAAACAAATGTAGAAGAAAGAGTGTGATACTCACATAGTTAGGTTGTGAGAAATCTCCTTGGGGATATCGGGCAACCTAAGGTGCAAAAAAGTTGTGCGGGGAATGTTTCTGTCCCCGTTCAGGATGGTCGCTCTCGGTGCTCATCGGGGTGGAGCTCGGCAGCTAGAGGGACCCGACGTGTACTGGAGAGATTAGACAAGAATGCCCCAAAAAAGCGTATGTGATCATGTTTCTTTAATTCAGACTTTTATTCCATGAAACATACACATGACTATCACAGTCTCAACACGTTTCGTGGCTCTAACTTTTTCAGGAGGGTGTGATGAGGCACTTTAGGAAGAGTGGTAGCGTCATTATAGGGAAGGCCCCCGGTTCTCACCCTAGGGGAGGAAGTATTTTAGTCACAGGATCACCAGGTGAAAATAAAGATAAACAGTCTGAAAACGAGAAAACTAATAGAGCAGCTACATCACAGAACTGGTAACCTGCAATAAATAACATTTTTGTTTTTGGGTTTAGATACCCTGTAGTGCTGTTTTTTCTTTCTCAGCAGGTGTTCTGACTTCAGCTGCTCATATTCTAATTTTATTCCATTTAGGACATATGAAGACAGAGAAAAATTAAGGGTCATCACGTGGCTAATAAATGATGTCCACACAGAGGTGATGAAGAGCCTGAACCCACCTGCATCCCGCTACATCATATGTAACCATTGACGAGGCAATTCTGGCCCATGTATGATCACCGTTAATGGTAGCTTTGCCTGTATGTTCGGGCACCAGCGTGGACATGACAGAGACTTACTGGATTCAGGATTGACACAATCCTAAAGCGAGCTGGCTGTGGAGATCAGCTTCCGTCATAGGAATGCCAGCAACAGAAGGTGCCAGAGGGTGTCTGCAAAAGGGCTTTGGTAAAAGAACACTGTGCAGCCTGCTGGTGGCATTGTCAATTACTTCTTTGGTGGTCGCGTCTTACGTGTTGTCAGCAGGAACATCAGAGTTATTTCAGGCTTTATCTTCACCCCATTCTTTGACTTACAACAAATCCAGCACAGAGAGACCTAAAAACATTGTTCAGTCTGTCAAGCCCTGTTCAGTAAATGCAACCTTTATCTCTCCTCGCTTGGTTGTCTCTATTACAAAGGAAAGAGAGATCCAGCTTACAGGACGTAGGATCCCAGACGTGGCAGAGCTGGAGCAATACGAACCACATGTATGTATTTCCACAAAGGACTTTATAATGCCTTTAGGCCATTGTTTTACATTTTTATTAGTTTTTAAAACCTAAACCTGTTTTTAGAAAGAGGTCAGTAGGTTTGTCTTTTTTTATTTTATTTGCTGTCCTAATGTCAGAGGGACAAGCTTCGCAGATGATCATATAAAACGCATTACAATAACCCTGTCAGCACAGGGTTCCTTGTATACAAAACCCATAGCTGTAAAAGAGGAAATATACTGTACTTTCCTTTCCAGCCCTTTTCGCTGCTCCCTGGCTGCATTTCACTTTTTCGGGTGTGTGAAATACCTGCTCTCCCGCGCAACAAGCAGTGGTTTCTCCTGCTGGCTCGTAGGTCACTATAGAATGTATGAACTGGTGGGAGAAACCACTGTATGTGGTGGGGGAGACAGGTATTTGACCCACCAGAAGGGTTGGATACTTGCAGCTGGGTAGCACTGAAACGGCTGTTCTTCAACACATGGGTTGCTTTAAAAATAAGTATATTCCCCCTTCCTTACAGGGGAAATATACTTACATACAGGCAGACTTGACAGAGGATCTAACAATTCCCTACTCTTTCCAAAATGAAACACAAAAGTGCAGTTTAAAACTGTGCATTTCCAAATCTTCAAATTGCTATGTTGCTTTCAAATTATATCAATTACATTTTAAAGCACTTTTTTTACATCTATGGATTCTACATGTTTACGTTATTTTTTATTTGGTCCTGTGATAATAAAGTGATTTGATTTCTGTCATTTTGTTTTCCAGCTATTTTCTGTGATTCCACAGAAGTTCCTAGGCCTTAGTCGCAGCCCTTGCTGGTACCAGAAGTATGATGGGAACTACAGCGCTGATCCCTATGGGAAAAATGACTATTCTTTATATGCCAAACGCTTGCATGCCATTTTCGAGGAGTTGCGGCAGGGGTTCCAGGAGCGACTTCAGTTGATCGAGGGGCAACAATACCGCTTGCGCTGTTTACCCCACTTTTACATCATTGGGCAGCCCAAATGCGGCACAACAGACCTCTACGACCGATTACGTCTGCACCCTAATGTCCAATTCTCCGTCATTAAGGAGCCTCACTGGTGGACAAGGAAACGTTTTGGTAAAATATTATAAACAATATAAAATCCATATTTTGACTAAACTAAAAGTGTTTCCTTTATATCAGTTATATTAGTACTGTACATTAAATTCAAATTCCATAAAAAAAGTAGTCCTAACTACAATATAACTTAAGGTACATCTAATGTCAAAACTTTTTTAAAATTTTGGATCAAGCAGGGAATGGGTAAAACCACTGTCGATTTTTTTTTGCTCAGTGTCCCATTGGGGAGATTTCACTTTCATTTCAAGTTGCATAAAAAAACCGGAAGTCAGAGGAAATCCCTTCAGAGTGAGGGAAGTCTACTCTTCCTCTCTTTCTACTTGCAGTTGTGACTGTCCCTATTGGAAAGTTTGTTTTTGTTCCAGTGACAACTGTAAAATTTGGTATTTCTTACCACTTTTTAGAAATTGATATTGGTCACCATGATTACTAGAGAGGGTGACTCTCCCCATTGGTGGCACAGACAGCTGTTACCGTCTAAATATGGTTTCTTTTTTTTTTCTTCACCTGAAGGAATTGTCAGAGTGAAGGAGCCATTCCATAAACCTTTCCCATTGGAGGATTATCTGGACTTGTTTGATTGGGCAGCAAAGAAAATCCAAGATTATCATAGTTTAGGAATAGAGGCAGGGAGGAGGGATCCAATCCTTATAGGTAAGGAACTGTGCAGGATACACAAGAGTGATCCTATGTGCTCTATGTTTGTGCGAGATAACAGGAAGCTCTTTGTTGCAGGAGAAGCCAGTGCGTCCACCATGTGGGACAATAGCGCCTGGTCTTATTTCTATGATAATGTCACCAACACAGAACCACCTGTTCTCATCCAGGACTTCATTCATGCCTTCCAGCCACGAGCCAAGTTCCTCGTCATGCTCCGGGATCCTGTTGAGAGGTCAGTTAAAGGCTAATAAGAATCATAAAAGAAGTCAATAAAAAAATAAAAATTGGCACAACATTTAGGGAAACCAAAAAAAGGAATATGAGTCGGAATACCCCTTCCCATGGGGCAGTGCAGGGCTATGTTAGCTATCTGCTGGGTCTACTTGTAAATTCACAGCCCTGGCAGATAGGTCACAGCCCCCGTTACCGTTAAATGAGCTTTTATTAATGAACGCTCAGGCTATGTCATATATTGTACTGGTCTTGGCAGTGCTGATCATTCATTCATAGAAGCTTACTCAGCTATGCCAGGCTGTGCACTTTCAAGCAGCCCAGGCAAATAGACAAATAGAACCCATACCCCTGCAGTGCTAAGTGATCCTTTATGGATGAACGATCAGCGCTGTTGGGGCTGTGTAATAGATCTGCCGCTGCACTGAACAATTACTAGCAGCCAGCAGCTCTATCACACTGCCCTGTAGCACTGATTGTTCATTCATAATAGTAATGAACGGTCGGGGTGGGGGTGAGGGTAAAAGGGCAGGGCTTAGTGCTTCAGACTGAGGTGGAGCTACAGCCAGCATTAACATAAATAAAAATATGCTTATTGTTCCGCAATGGGGCCACCGATCTAAATGGGTGCTATATGCAGTTGGCCCCGTGGTAGCTAAAATGTAAAATGTTTAGTGAGACTTATTTTTTAAACAATTGTTATATGTGGATACGGAATCTGAAGCAGCTCTGTACAGCAACCAATTAGCTGATCTCTTCAGTTTGTTCAGTTAAGCTTTGAAAATAAAAGCTAGAAGCTGATTGGTTGCCATGCACAGCTGCTCCAGACTCTGTCTTAGTAAATCCTTCTCAATGAGTACAAAAATGAACTCTTTTTTTTTAGTAGAAAGGTTTTTATATTGTTCTATAGCAGGACAAGCAATCATATGTGTGGCTTTTATTAAATAAAAAGCTCTGACAGATGAAGCAATCACTGTTGTGTAGTCTGCCTGCGTTCATTGGCCCCAGTGACTGCACGAAGACAGAAGGAATGCAAGATGGAACTGGAGGAAACAATTACTGGAAGCAAAACAGAGATATAGATTCAGCAGATTTCCAGCCTCTTTTCTGTCCTAAAACATGTAGCAATTTAAAAGACACAGGGATCGGGTTTTCCTAAATATGGTTGTCAAGAGGGAACATGTTTTATATCATTCTAGTTGGGGGCTGTACAATTATAGCTATAAGTAACCAGAAACATTCTGCGTCCCTTTGTGTGCTTTATATTTCTCTTGTCATGCAAAACACCCCTCATTGCTTACTTCACTACAGGAGGCTGATAACTTGCCTTTCCAGTCTCATCACATACGCAGAAAGGCCTTGCATACACTTACAGCCCTTGAAACGCAGTTGACAACCAGTTTGCAGGCGTTCTGGAGGCGATACCGCCGCCACCTGATGGCTTCTTTTATTGCAATACCGCATTGGCAAGTGGCACTACCTGCTAAACGTGGCAGCCCACCAACACATGTTTTTGGGTGTTGTAGTAATCGCGGATGATACTCAGCAGGGCTGTTGCCTCTGGTGGCATCTCGTGTGGGGCAAAGTGGATTGGCGGCAGAGCAACACAGCTGTTCTGCTGCACCATGTTTGCAGTGTTCCTGCCGCCCCCTTTCCGGCCAGAGCGTCACAGACTAAGAGCCAGGCAGGGAGATGTGTAAGGGCCAAACGTATCTCTCTGCCCAGTTCATAGCAACCTGGCACAGAGTGGCAGACTTCCAGCCCAGCACCTGGTAACCAGTGACGTCACTATTTGCCGGGATGCCATGCCCACCCTCACAAGCCCACCCCCCATGCTACCTAAGACTGTAATAAAGCTAGGGACGCCCCTGAGAGTGAGTGCATTGTTACAACACAACAGTGTGAACCCACCATAGGCAGCTGTCTGCATTAGAAGATTTTCCATCTATTCCAGTTCCAGTAAAAACTCAAAACTCACAATAACCCACTGCACTCATAGTGCCATTGACAAAAGTCACCAGGACCAGTTCTGAGAGTGACTGTCCATAGCATGAGCACAGACAAACATACAATTCGGGCAGGGGTTCTCCCCTTCCATGCCACAGCATGGGCACAGACAGACATACAATTTGGGCAGGGGTTCCCACCCTTTCATGCCACAGAATGGGCACAGACAGACATACAATTCGGGCAGGGGTTCTCCCCTTCCATGCCACAGCATGGGCACAGACAGACATACAATTTGGGCAGGGGTTCCCACCCTTTCATGCCACAGAATGGGCACAGACAGACATACAATTCGGGCAGGGGTTCTCCCCTTCCATGCCACAGCATGGGCACAGACAGACATACAATTCGGGCAGGGATTCTCCCCTTCCATGCCACAGCATGGGCACAGACAGACATACAATTCGGGCAGGATTTCTCACCCTTCCATGCTCCAACCAAAACTAAAAAAATGTCTTTAAGAAATGACTACATGTGTCGCTCCCGGTGGAATGGATGAGCAAGACGTTGCTCCCTTGTTGAAATAAGCACTGCAGAATATAAGTCGCCAGCGAGAGGGCGACACCTCCCTCATTAAACTGGCGAGGGAGTGAAACATGTATTTCACCAATCTGTGTTCTACATATCTGTCCAGCCACTGGTGAGACATCGCCAATGACAGGATTGCTAGTCCAACATGGACATGGCCCTTACAACAAGATGGCTCTAAATCTTTTTTCCTGCTTTAGCGCAATCAGTTGACTGTGTCAGACTGGTCTGCAGATTTTCAATAGTTTGGAATGGCAATTCAGTTTTTTGCTTGAAAACAAGAAAATTTCCTGCCAATACGTTTGGCACGCACTATGTTCATTTTTTTTTTTCCCCTGTAAAGCTTTTGTTATGAGTTTCACAGACAGGATTACATAACACGTGATTTGTACATTTTTGTCTTGTCCTTTTAAAGTAAAAGGGAAAATGCATCAGGTGCCGTTGCTAAACTACTTGTTGCCAGGTTATTTTATTTTAAAGGCTACAATATGTTCTGAGTCACTGACCCCAAATTAAGTTTGCAGATTGGGAACTCTGACTTCACTGGCTGCATGCTGGTTGCAAGTTAGTGACTTAGGAAATAATGATTTTCAGAATGAGGATGACAATGGAAGCCTCTACATCTCACTCAGTATGGGTTTCCTTCATATCGGTAGAAGACAATCTGCTGCTGACTCAGTCCTTTGATCCAAGCTAATCATCTGTATGCAGAAATGTGGCCTGGTGTAAGCCTGATATCTACGATTTGTACTATTCTACCCCCGCCCCCCACCCTTCAGGATAATAAATCTAGCAGTCAACTAACTATTTTTTAAAGTGGTGAAGTGCCAAACGCTGCACCCCTGGTAGTTCTGCCACTGACTACAAGCTGTACAGGGACAATAAATCTCAGCAATACATTATACAGCAATACAGAATGGCACCAGCTGCAGAAAACTACAAATCCCAGCTATACATTATACAGCAATGCAGAATAATGCCATCAGCTATAGAGGACTACAAATCTTAGCGGGGTCTCAGCAGTGGTCCGGGGGTCTTGTGGGCAGGTGCGGGTGGTGTGGTGCAGGAAGGAGGAGGAGATGTGCGGCCGGCACTGTAAACAGGCACTGTAACTCACAGGAAAGCTGCCAGGACCTTGCTGTTAGGGCGATACCTACTTTGCCTAGCGGGAAATCTGGCCCTGCTCCTCTACAGAGCACACACAGGAAAATACTATTATATTTTCACAAAAGGTAAAGTGGAGTTGTGTATATAAATGCAGAATAACAGCAAAGAGGGGGACCGCAAAAAACATTGCTTGGCTATTTTTATGGTGATCAGACAGGAAGTAATAAAAAAGTAAGCCTATAAAGTAGAACTGCTTTTTTTGCTACCTGTGTCCCGTTGGGGAGATTTCCCTTCACTTCCTGCCTGATAGCCACATCAGGATGTGACAGGAAATCTGTGCAAATTGAGGGAAATCCCTCGTAGTCAGCAGGGTCACCGGAACTAGTGTCCCCATTGTTAGATTTCCCATCTATTCCTGTTCTTTTGACATCCCCAAATTTGTTGATACTGGTAACCAGGGCAAAAAGAGAGGGTGAATCTCTCTAATGGGGACACAGATGACATTAAAATTCTGGCAGGTGTTATAATCCCTTTCCAATCTATCCAACACTAAAAAAAATGTTTTCACTTCAGTTGCACTTTAAGCTTTCTCTCCTTTATCCAAAACATAAAATAACGTGGGCTCCAATTCCATTTTAAAGTAGACTTGCTTGGATATTGCTGACATGCCACTCAAGACTGTGCCTAGGCTCAGGGGCTTCTCTAGGTGTGGTGTCACCAGGAGCGGCCACCGAGTGACACCCTGCTGGGATGTCATCATGCATGCGTGTGACGTCATTGCACACGGGCGATGTTATCACACGCGAGTGTAATTACATCAAGCATGCTTACCTGCCGGCGGCCATCTTGATGATGGGGGCCGGCAAAGAGAGGAGGGGATGTTCACCTGGCAGGATGAGGTATGTTGCCGGGTTCCCTCCTCTCTTGTGCAGCTGTCGGGCTCTCAGTCCATGACTGAGTGCGCGGCTTTTCAGAGGTGGTGACACCAAAATGACTGTCTCCCCCTTTGTGACACCTCTGCCTAGGCTGGAGAGGTACAATGTTGGAAAATGTAATCAGTCTGCTGCAGGCATTTTTTGTGGTTTCTCCTCCTTCTGTGATCACTCACCCATGCCGCACACTGTTTGTGAAAAGTTACTAAGTGAAAGGCAGCAGCAGGGAGTTGATCTGTTTTAGACACACAGTACAAAGACACCGGTATTAGCATGACTGTCTCATTTACAGAACAGCATCTTAGTCCAGGAGCTAGAAGATGACACTGAATAAAGCAAATATGGTGCCGTCCTAAACAGAAATAAAGATGAGAGGATTGTCAGGACAAGTACTGTGATTACCCTTAGAGTTAATAAAACCTGAATGTGTTTCCCTTTGCTTGCATGTCTAAAGTTAGTTAGGGTTAGCTAGGGGCCTTGGGACTTGTTCTGATTTCCTTTTTCAAAATTTAAAATAAATTATATAGGTTAGATGACCAAAGCACTGATTTGGCCGAGGTTTTTTGTTTTAACTTTCTATATTTAGAACAAAACAAATGTTCTAGAGAGCAGTACTGTCAGCTCCCTGCTCTGTTAAACTGTCACATTTGAGGTTTGGCGCACAATCACTGGATTACTATTATTTCTTATACACATGAAGTATCAGTTCCTCTTTTCTTTTGGTGAAAAGCAACAGTAGGACAAACAAGCGATGACAAGAAATTTTGTTGCAAAGAAGCACTTGCTTATTTTAACTCTTACGTGGCCCAACTACCTTAGTGACGGCCACAATGTAAGGGATTCAATATGGCCATTAAAGGGTATTATACAATAAAATGTAAAATGTGTAATTCAAAAGTTAAGGGATACATTCTATTTGATTGGCAATGTTTAAAGAGACTTGATAAAGACAGACTGGATTTGTGCATATACAGTATATATATATATATATATATATATATATACACACACACACTTATATATATACAGAGATTCAGGAGATTCAGTATGCACTCACAGGTCTTCCAAAAAAGCACATTCATAAAAAATAGGTTTATTTCACCGATGTTTCGACGAGTCTCAGCCTGCCTTTCTCAAGGTGGGCTGTGACCCGCAGAAACGTCTTTGTAATAAACTGAAATATCTATCTGAGGAAAATGTCTCTGAATTTTTCTTGTTATGATTCAACTTCAGCACGATGAATTAATTAGAATTGTTTCTGTATTTAAGAATGAAGATTTCTTTATTACATGAGGATGTGGAAATGGAGAAAGTTTCCAATTTGTCAAGCAACAGGCTGCTTTGGAAGGCTGCTTTGGAGTTTTGACAAGTAATAGTTGGGCATGTTCTGGTTTTGGTATGACATACTGTTTCTGTTGTCTGATATAATTCCGACATGTTCTGCAAAGATGTTTGACTAGAGGACAATATCAGCAAACAAGGGAATTTAATGTTAGGGAAACATGGAGGGTACAATCGTTACCTTCACCTACTGAAATTGCTTGCCGGCTGGCAGTCATACTGACACTCTGGAGTCAATGCTTTGACTCGCTGACCTGCAACAGGATAAGGACTTTTGACTTTTCTTTGACTTGCCTGATTTGTTTTATTGTTCCAGGTCATTTATCCAGAAAGATTTGGTAGCCAGTAGGTCAGCAGCTTAACAAATATAATTTGTTGAAGGAGGTGAGCAATGGTCTTATCTGGTGACTGGCCTACCATCTGTGTGCCTCAGTGGAAATTAAGAATCATCGGACCAGGCTGTATTTTATTCAGTTTTCAACAGTACGGTTTTGATGAGCCTGTGCCCACTGCAGTTGTGTTTCTGTTCTTGGCTGACAGGAGTGGAAACCAGTTGTAGAGAGTGGTTGTCTGAGTTCCTGTTGCCTCTCAGCTCAAGCCAGTCTGGACATTCTTCTCTGGCCTCTCTGCAGATCTACCACTTACCACTTTTTGTCAATACAGCTCAAGACTGTATTGTGCGAAAATCCCAGGAGATCAACTGGCACAGAAATACTCAAACCAGCCCCTATGACTCCAATAATCATTCCGTGCCTAAAATAACCAAGAACACATTTTCCCCCCATTCTGGTGTTTGATGTGAACATTACCTGAAGTTCCTGACCTGTTTCTACATGATTTATGGATTGTGCTTGGCTAATTAGATTGCATGAATAAGCAGGTATAGGGATGTTTTTAATAAATTGCATGGTGGCTGTATATCGATGCTCAGACCTTGAGCAATCAATGCTAAATGATCATCAGCTGTCAACGGCCAACATTCAATCTGCTACAGACTGTTATTTGTGGCCTGCAAAACCCTTACAAGATATTTGTGTTCCTTGTTTGCTTATCATCTGTTGTGCTTTCTCTGGCTCCACAGGTTGTATTCAGACTATTTGTACTTTTCTATTGCAAACAAGTCTGCCGAGGACTTCAATGACAAAGTGAATGAGTCTCTGCAGATGTTTGACAGCTGCCTGCAAGGTTCTTCTCTGCGAGCTTGCGCTTACAACACCACCTTCAGCAACATTCTGCCGGTATGTAGACTTCTCTCCTGGGAAATCACTGTGCACAGCCCGAGCCTCTTACATCTGTTCTAATCCAGAGTTAAGAAAAATGACACATGCTATTACAACAGGGATTAGGAGAGCTGTGTGTCATTAGCCCTGACTTGCTTATTCCCTGCACGCCGCAGAACACTTTAAGGGAAACTGTAATGTCATCTCTAAAGGTACACATTGTGAGTAGGTATTAAAACATTGACTTTTTAAAATCATTTCTAATGTGACTTTCAAAGCACAGCACAAGCACCCATTGAAGGGGGACCACTGATCTGCTGCTCCATTATTCATTCAGGTTTATTTAAAGTGGCACAGTTAAAATTATACCGCACATACAGATCCAACTACATTGGCCTATACACATCCCAAGTGGCTCCGTCGGCTAACGAAGGGAAGAGGGGAGGAGTCCAGTGACGTCACGGACATCGACGTCACCGGACTCCTCCCCCCTTCCCTTCGTTAGCCGACGGAGCCACTTGGGGAAGGGGGAGGAGTCTGGTGGCGTCGATGTCCGTGACGTCACCGGATCTCCTACGGGACTGCCGGAAGCCGGCGGAGAGGTGAGTCTTTGCATGGCTCAGTACACTGTTCTATGCATAATCCTCTTATTTTTTGGGATATGTGATGGAATGAGACATGAGGCTTTAGGTCTCATTCACACTGGTAAGTGCCGGCTCTTACAGATCCGTGTGGCGTGCACGACTGTATCGGGCTGCTCCTGGGAAGGAGAGGTGCTGCGTGTGATTGTACGCAGCAGCCTGTTCTTCCCTATGGGAGTTTGCAGCCATACGCTGCCTTACGTTCACCCGAACTGCACATCTGTGTGGGTTCGGGTGTCCGTGCTCGGACGCAGACAGGATGGGTCCCACCCATCCTGTCTGCGTCCAAGTACCGACACCCGCACCCACACTCAGGTGAGCGTACGGCCGTGTACTCCCATAGAGTTCCCAGTATGAATGAGGCCTTACCGTGTTACATGTAAAACATAAATGCCTCTTCGTCTGATATTCAGTTACCAACTTTTGAACAGCAGCAAGCAGTCCTAATTTTAGCTGTATAATATTAGATTTTTATGGAATTTTTGGTTTTGGAGTGCTATAATTTTCTGTCATCTTCTTAGTGCAATAAAATACAAGTATTAAAATTAAAATAAACCATCACTTTCACTTGTCCAATATACGGCAACCAATTAGCTTAAGATCAAAAGAAGCAAAAAAAGACTGTGGTAATATAACTGAAGTCAGCAAAAGCTGTGAGGCTGTGGGACGAAAGATTGCATAGGCGGTAACCCTCCAGTTGCTATAGGAATTGTAGTTCCGTAGCAACTGGACTGTCACAGCATATCTATTGCTACCAGTTTGAAAGCATTTGCTGACATCGGGTATATTTTCAAATCCATTTATCATCAATTTTTTTTTTTTTTTACTCTCTTTAGTTTAAACTAATTGGCAGCCTTCCATCTGGCAGTGGAAGAGTGATGGTTTCATCTAATGTTGATGCTTGTGCTTTATTGCCTTGATGGGATCTCAGAAACAAATGACAATTTCAAAACATCCACTTAAAATAGCATATTTTAACACTGAATTAGGAACACTTGGAGCTGTTCAGAATGACATTGGGGGGTTTTACAGTATAGCACTGTACTATAGCCTGTACTAAACTCACTTTGGCTTGAGTTAATGAGCCCTAGTTGGTGAGATTTACTATCGCTACCTGTTCTGGTCAAGTCCTGTGTGTCATGGTATGGCAGGATGTCGCGGGCACAGGAAGTAATGGGAGTTGATGCAGTGGGGGACATGTGCAGTAACAGAGGCTCTAGCCCAGATCTGGGCATTTGTGGTCAGCAGCTGTCCGTCCTGCCAACCTGCGCTTGGTTATGGCTGGCTGACAGTGGAGGCCAGTGCAACCACTGCAAGCCATAGCCCAGTGCAGGTTGGTGATTGGTCTATGATCTCAACGCATTTCTCTTCAGTCCTTGGTTGCTAGGACCGCTGGCATCCTAGCAACCGATGGCGTCAGAGGTCCTCCTCTGCAGTCATTGGTTGCTAGAACTGCTGAGCGGTCCAAGCAACAAATGACGTCCGGGGTCCTCCTCTGTCTCCTCCCCTGCAGCATCGGCCCATGGGCTTTAAAAAAAAAAGAGCTTAAAGCGTGGGGGTGTGAGGTTTGGCATGTGTAGTTTCCTGCCCAGCAGCAAACTGACGGCATGGTACTGTGCAACACACCTACCATGTGTTACAGTGCAGCTGGTGCATTGCATGCACTACTTTTTTCAAACGCACCGCAATGCAAGGTATTATGGTAAGGCATTTTGCGGTGCAGTTGATCAGATGAATTGCAACGCAGTGCATCTGCCACACTGTAACGCACAGGCATCCCAGTTTCCTATGTGTTCACCCCAGCTCTAGCCCTTCTTCACCATATCAGAAAAACAGCAGATATAGTAGATCTTTATGAGATTCTTCCTCTCAGTATCTGCCAAATCTCCAGTACTGGAACTTTAATGTGGTGTCGGCCCAGCTGGCTGTCATGGTGAACACCATGCATTCCTGTTCCATGTCAAACTCACTCTCTTGTGGGTCAAACCAGGTAATTGGCTAATGTTTGACATGTGCATGGCAAGAGCAACCACAGAAGGGAGGATAAGTGTACAAACAGTTAACACTTTCTCATTTGACAGACCTTTCATCTTGCTCAGTCCCAAAGACCTTGTTTGCTGAGCCTGGCAACATCCAAAACATCCATTGGGAACTGCCACATGTCACAGTCCTCCCCGTAAGATATTGTCACCCCAAATGGCCAGAAAGGCAGAGAAACAGGGCACTGATATGCAGGTGTATTCCAGTATTGTACTCCGAGGGAGGCTGTGTGCTTTAGGGAGCTGTAGAATTCCAAAGATCATTGGTTTGTGCAAAAGGCTGCCAAGCTGATCCAATGCAATTCCACAAAGGATCAAATACCAGTTATGGTCATGTGACACAAACATTTTGTTTTTAAATGGTAAGGGCGCAGTGGTTCCATACTGAGCATTTAACAAATATCCTATACAGTACTTATCTGTAACACCTCACCTTCCTCCAGAGATCTTCCCTGTGCAGTATTCCCTGCATCGCACAATCTTAATTTAAATATCTTCCCAGCTGACCAGTGTGCCCCCATGCATGTGCCACAGAATCTCCACTTCAATGTAAAGCCTGACCACAGTTCATTAATCTTCCACTGAAGTGAAGGAAGTTCAACCTCTCATTCATAGTGCTCACTGGCTGGTTTGAAAGTTTTTGTAACAAAGGCTTTGTGGCATTGGGTATAGTGATTGTCACTGGAGGGGAGCATAAACTATCTAAATAATACTTGACAGAGGGAGAGGAGAACAGTGATAAGTGTACTTATCATTTAAAAATCAATTTGAGAGAGATGTTTGTGTCTTGTTAGGAAGATGTCTGCTTGCTTCAGTACCTGTGACCACCATCATTAGAATTAGAAGAGAGAAAAAATCTATTCTACAAGGACACACACAGCAATCAAAACAAATGTTTTACCCACTACAGCTCAATAAGGCACACTTTCTTATATTTCTAATGCATTCAATTTGTATCCTGTTTGTCTAGGTGCGGCTCCATGTTGGTCTTTATGTGGTATATCTGTGGGACTGGCTGACCGTCTTCAACCCCGATCACTTTCTCATACTCCGGCTGGAAGATCACGCAGTCAACCCCAAACAGAGCATGAGACTTGTGTACCAGTTCCTCGGTCTCGGTATGTACAGACATCCTCTCACAAATACTGCAGTCTGCTTTCTTTGATCTCTGGTAATCCTTAGAAAGGGATTTGGTTATTTATAGTGGGGTTAGAAGTTGACAATTTTGGACCTGATACATGAAAGGTTTTCACACATCTGCTAAATGTATTTACTATATCATACACTTTTTTACTTGGAAATATTTGCATGCATTTTTTTTTCTGAGTATGTTTTCAGGTAAGGGAAGTATATATTCATACAAAAATCAGCCTCTCATTTTTCACTTGGGTGATGTAAAAAGTGTTGATGGATGCACTTGAGAAATGAACGCAGGCTTACACATTCTATAAGATGCTGTGAATGGGTCGGTTGTCAGGGAGGATGTAACTCCTGCATGCATGCACTGGAATTACATCATCAGTGGTCACCTAATGACAGAAGAGCACTCCTGAGAACCTGGAAGTGTCAGTAGCAGAGTTGATGGCGGCAAATGATAAAGCTAAGGACTGAAGGTCCATCAGACAGCACTGGAGAAGGGCACACTTTTAAGTTAAGTGTGCCCTAATGTGGACGTATGCACTGGGCAAAAACGGTTTACTTCTGCTTTAACTGAATGAACCAATCTTCTATGTTGCAGTGCCTGTGAAAAGAGAAAGGCAGCTGACATAGGCAACAAAGATCCTCTTTAAGACAATGTGAAAAGGAATCTTTGTTTTTCCTTGTTGCCCCTAACAACCAATTTCCCATTACCATTTTCTTGGTGCAGCTTAGAAACTGAAAGGAAGAATCTGGTTGTTATGGGAAAAAGGAAAACTTTTGCTTTAAAACGATTTACATATTTGATTTCAAATTACCTGTACTGCGTAAAGACTGGAAAGTATCGATGATCTGTCCGGATGTACATATAGTGAGGAGTTCATTATTCTCACCATGCGGTGGGCGCCTGTTATCTTTATCTGATTGACTTCCTCCTTCATTGCTATAGCAACAGATAATGAAAATGCAGTGCTAGACAACAGTCTGAAGTCTGTAGAGAAATCTTTTCCTTCAGATAAGCATGACTCATGCATTTAGGGTTTAGATGATAGCTGCTGTTACTTGCTTTTACTCCATCTATCTAGATTTCTATTTTTTTTTTCATGCTTAATGAATGTAATACTGCCGGGATTAGGGCTAATATATACAGTCCCAGCTCCTTGTTACCCCCAGGTATCTTTTTTCCAGCTCTCCTGGTTCATAGTGATATAAATGCTGCAAGGTAAGAAACAATTGCCAAGATATTGGCCCCTTAGGTCCGCGCCCTGTTCCGTTAGAGTAATGGAACAAGGGCCCCAACAGAGTGGATAGGCAACAAGGGAGTATTGATGGGTAAGTATCAATTTTCAACAAATAAGCATCTTGTACAAGTTATTCATTCTTTTTCTACTATTGACTGAAAGTAAAAAGTGAAAAGAATCATATATTCTTCATGCTAACTGAAGTGCAAATTAATCTGTTTTGCTGTTATGTGAACCAACCATGGGTCTGGACAAATAGGCTAAAGGCTTAATTCGCTAGACTCTAGTGTGAGTGTATGTATATACCAAACTGTTCCCACAAAGTTGGGAGCATGAAAATGTCCAAAATATCTTGGTATGCTGATGTCTTAAGAGTTCCCTTCACTGGAACTAAGGGGCCAAGCCCAAACCCTGAAACACAACCCCACACCATAATCCCCCCTCCACCAAACTTTACACTTGGCACAATGCAGTCAGACAAGTATCGTTCTTCTGGCAACCGCCAAACCCAGACACGTCCATCGGATTGCCAGACAGATAAGCGTGATTCCTCACTCCAGAGAACACGTCTCCACTTCTCTAGGGTCCAGTGGGGGCGTGCTTTACACCACTGCATCCGACGCTTTGCATTGCAGTTGGTGATGTAAGGCTTGGATGCAGCTTCTCGGCCATGGAAAACCATTCCATGAAGCTCTCTACGCACTGTTGTTGTGACAATCTGAAGGCCACATGAAGTTTGGAGGTCTGTAGTGATTGACTCTGCAGACAGTTGTGGACTTCTGCGCACTGTGCGCTTCAGCATGCGCTGATCCCGCTCTGTCATTTTACGTGGCCTACCACTACGTGAGATGCTGTTGTTCCCAGTTGCTTCCACTTTGTTATAATACCACTAACAGTTGACCGTGGAATATTTAGTAGCAAGGAAATGTCACGGATGGACTTATTGCACAGGTGGCAGCCTATCATGGTAGCACGCTTGTAGTCACTGAGCTCCTGAGAGCGACCCATTCTTTCACAAATGTTTGTAGAAGCGTCTGCATGCCGAGGTGCTTGATTTTATACACCTGTGGCCATGGAGGTGATTGGAACACCTGAATCCAATGATTTGGAGGGGTGTCCCAATACTTTTGGCAATATATATACAGTATCTCTTGCCTTAAAATATATCTAACGAAAAAACTTTTTATGTTATACCCCTGTTGGGCTTGCAATGCTGCAGAAAGAGATAAGGACTGGAGCATCACACCGGCGTCTGTACAAATAGGACGATCTAGTTCTTATCGATTTGAACTATTTGTTGGAATAAACTTATCGTTGGATTCAACACTTGCATTCCAGTCCTCCTCTTTTTCCCCAGTTGCAGTCCAAAGAAGCTTACTGTCACATTACCAACAGGTAGCAACATATCAGCTTTGGGAACCCAACGCCACCCATCTGCCCCCCTAGGTTTGTATTGCTGTCTTTGTTTCCACAGGTGAAACTCACCTTTTTTCATAGTGACCATTGTCACTGGGATAGGAAAGTAATGGGTAAGCCGACAATTTTCAGTTGTCACCAGAACAGGAGTAGAAGGAAATCTTCTACTGAAGGCAGATGCCTCCATGATAGCTGCTTAAATACTTTACATATGCCGGAGATTGAAATGTTTTTCGATTTAGACAGATACAGCACTACTTCGCTGTTGGCACTGTAAGATGATCGATCGCTATGTTATGTTGTTATTATTTTGACACATATGCTGGATAACTATATAACCGTTTTGTCACTTTTTCTGTTACTATATGTGCCTTGATGTCTATAAATATGGAAACCAATAAAAAACTTTGAAAATCCATGATAGCTGGCCGAGGGAAATTCTCTTTACTATGGAAAGCATTCCTCTCACTTCCGGTTTTGTCCCCAGGACAGGAAGTGAGGGAAAATGTCCCCAGTGGGAGAATAAAAATTTATAGCGGCTCTAACTATTCCCTACTTTATCCAAAACTTGATTAGATATACATGAACTCGTATAACATTATGATACCTTTATTTTCAGTATATCTGGACATGTATCAGTTTTCAGTGTTGTGGCTAATAGTATTTTCCTAATATTTGCAGGAGCTTTAAATAATGAACAGGAGGCTTCTATGAGCCATAAAAAAGCGTCGAATAGCCGCCGCCCAGAGGACTGCAGCCTGGGACCCATGCTCCCTCAAACCAGACAGCTTCTTGTGGACTACTATCGGCCCTACAACCAAAAATTGGCACAGTTGCTTTCAAACAGAGCTTTCCTATGGGAAAGGTAGCAAGGCGACGGACGCATCCATGTATATTTTCCTTTCTGCATGATCAACTGCACTGAAGGGGTTGCTCTGACATCTATTGGACTAATGTGGGAACTGCATGCTTTGGAGAAAAGCGATGCTTGACTGCCCTCTATGGATCAAACTGTGGATCTGCAATGAAGAATGTCAGTTACCAGATGTGGAAGGGAAACAGTAGTCTGGTAAACTGTATCACCTGGATTACTCCTGACGTCAGATAATACAGCCTAATACACCAACACAGGGACTAAACGAAAAGGAAATAACTTTTTGCCAAAAAAACTGTTAACCTCATGGTGAGAGAAACTGGAGATTCTTAATTCAAAGATAATTATTTTTTCATGTCTCAAAAAGATTAAATTAATATTTAAATGGGAGTCGTTTGTTTAATAAGGACCAGCAGAGCCTGCGGCGAGGTATTGTGCATGGTATTTGCTCATAACCCTAATTGCAGTATGGATGTGCTTGTCAGTAAAAAGAGGGCATTAAAAAAGCAATATGTTTTCACTGGTTTGAATCAGCTGCCCTGTTAGATTACACCTTTTAGTTAGAAAATTGCAAATATTTTATTGGTCTCTGTCATTTTTTTTTTTACAAATCCCAACATGTCTCCCTCCACCTCTGAGAGTCATGCCTGTAACTGTCAGTCTTGCTGGAGGGCCGGAGAGTCACAACAGTTGCAGGGACGGAGTTGTCCACCCATGCCCACCCTCTCTTGCACTTGGTACACCTATAAAGCTCCTGCAGGTTTGAATACCACATACTTTCTGTGGTTTTGCAGCTCCAGTGTGTGGCAACACTTTACATATGGATAGGATGTTCAAGCACAATGCCTGTCCTTCACTGCTTGAAAATTAGTCTTTTCATGACATAGAAATACAGAAATGAGCACCAGACCAAACACAGATAATAGAGTGCAAGGTAAGTTTTATTATTGGTGAATGGGTCACATAAAAACATCCAATGCATGTTGTGGGCCAACTTCCCCCCTTCATTACGGGCTCAACACAGGATCAAAACTTGAAGGGACTGTGACCAAACATATCTATATTTGGGCCAGAATGAAATTTTCCTTGTGGATTATAAATGTAATAGTTGCCGAGTAGCAACCATTGCAATCTTATATAGATGGGCCCTGTCCTCCTCTGAGCCCATTCAAGTTTTGCTCCTGTGTTCAACAACGATGAAGGGGGAGCATCTTGTCTATGAGACCCATTTGCAATAATAAAAGTTATGTTGGACTCCTACAGTATATCTGTTTTTGATGTGGTTTTTGGTTCTGTATTTCTATAGTTCAAACTACTGTCTGGTACTCATTGGGGGAAGCCTTCCTATGTGGGAACCCCATCACCAGAGCTATTAAAGTGACACTAAACTCAGGAGTTAAATCTTACAAATTCAAGCACCTTAACTATTAACAATACTGTATCTTATTTGTGCATCACCTAAAGTGTTAACAAAAATGTATCTTATTTGTGTATCACTCGGCTGTAGATCCTCAAATCATCTCTGAATTGGTGCTGACACTGTCCTTCCTTCTGGAGGGTGGATAGGTGTGTTCCCCATGGTCCCTGTGTGTGTTGTAAAGTAGTCACCGCTCCAAGATCACTCCTGTGATGGACTACAATCTCGTGTTTAGTTTACTAATTTGTATTGAAGTTATAGTCTATCACAGGAGTGATCTTGGAGCGGTGACTACTCTACAACACACACAGGGACCATGGGAAACAAAAGTAGCCCCCCCTCCAGAAGGAATAATTAATAATTAAGGTGCTTGAATGTATAAGATGGAACCCCTGAATTTAGTGTCCCTTTAAGCTTGTTTAAAGTTTTTTCTTCAACTGACTGAACATACAAGTTTGAAAATTCCCAGCACCTCTTGCAATATGTTTGACTGGAGTTCAGTCTTTTCATATCAGTTTCATGGGCTCCCAGGGCGATCTGAAAGAAAGTTTGAACATCAGTATGGTATGTACTGATCTCATGGAGCCTACTGTTATGTAACCTGTTTTATTTTCCTTATCTACAACAGGTTTACTTAAAACATATCAGAAACAGTACACAGCAGCTCCTAGAGACACTAAAAAGGGGAGTTCTGGCTTTTAAAAACATATTCAGAGACAATACACTCGTGCCAGAGATAACATATTGTAATGTTTATGAAGAGAATAAAATCGACTGATAGCTTATAGAAATTGTATAACTCAACAAGCTCCAATCTGTTACTGTTCACAGCTTTGCTACCTAACCGATCCCTCATTCTCACCCATCTGGTGGCCTGACTTTTTCTAAAGCTATAACAATCACTTTCAGTGATTACTCATTTGTGACAGACCAATAACTAACAGAAACAGTAGAGGTCCTTTTTTAATGGTCATAATCCATATTTTTACTTATGAAGAGAAGGAATTTGATTGAAGTCCCCAGTAAAGAAAAAAACATCTACATAAAAAATGTAAATAAAAATAATAGTAATATTAATGGTAAGCTTTATTAACATCATTATGGCAGTGCTTGTGTTCCCTAAACATTTCCAAGGCTGAGGAATTTCCTGAGCTAATAGATTTCAGGATAGTTGGTTTTTGAATTGGAGCATCAAAAATTTGAGACAACTAGACCGGCAGCTGCAGAAGTCATGGGGGCCTTTGCCACCTATCGCTATTGTAATGAGGCCACAAATGAAATGAGGGGCTTTTCCTAATGACCATGGTGACTTTTTGCCAATGACCCCCAATAAAATTGGTGACCAGCAAGGTATTGGTGGCCTTTGTTGCTGACCATTACAATAGTCCCCATTCTACGTTATTCCATCTTTGCTTAGTACTATCATCACATGGCAGGAATAGCAGCTCTGATCTACTACTCTCACCTTCACCCTTCTATCCTCCATCAAACAAGATATTCATGCATGTTCTGCCTCTTCTTCAACACATAAGCATACATCCAGATACACCCCAAATACATCAACCATATAAATGCCTCATAACTTACAACAGTCCCCATTCTTCAACATGCATCCTCCACCACCATTGAATCCTCTCCTCCTGGGCAATCGCAAGATTTGCAAGAAGGAGAGGGGGACAGAGATGCGACCACAGCCCTGAGGTCTATGAGAGGGGTGGCAATAGAGGTTCAGCAGGTGCTAGACCTCCTCCCACAGGTATACTTAAGATTCATGGAGAGAAGGAGGGAGATCTTATTATGGCAGGTGAGCACAGGGTCTGCATTAAGTGTATTGTGCCCGGAGTTGAGATTTAAAGCTGAACTTTAGGCAAATATAACATATAGATTAAAGCAGCTCTGTAATCACTAAAATGTCTTTTTTTTAAAAATGCAAACAGGGTAAGTTCCTAAATTTGAACTGGTATTTGCATATCGCAGTCCCTGTACAGCAGGGCTGGAGTGTGAGAGGAAGAAGCAGTACAAATAGGCAATCAGTTCATGTGCTGAGAAGAAACATGCTAATAGGTGGGGAGAGCAGACTAAGAGAGAGATGAGGTCATTACTGTGCTGCTTCTCCTTTCACTGTCCAGTCACGGGCTGGGGGCAGGTCCAGGATGACCTGGGCTCAGAGGAAATGGGTTGAATGATACTGAACTGATGTACATGAGCTGGACTAAGGACATCTAGTGGCAGACAAAAGTACTGCAGTAAAAAGCTGCACCAAAAGCTGGTTTATTTTACCTTTTAATGGGCTATTCATTGTTATCTTGCTATTTTGGGCTGGAGTTTTGCTTTAAATTTGGTATTGGTCACAGGAAGACCAGGGAAGAATTTGAAGCTACTCTATAGAGTCATAATGGGTTTTTTAGAGAGACCTGCACTCACTCAAAATAACTCTCTCCATCCATGGGCACACATTAGTATGTAATAAATGTGGATTTCACATGTACAAATAATATACACATATATTAGAAATTATATTTGAAATACAATAATACATGTTATTTTGATTGTTCGTGTGGATATAAAAAGGAACTTTAACCTTTACAGGTTCTTATTACAGTCTTCAAAACTCTGCTCGCAGTCAAGTGATGAATACAAATAGAGAAAGGACATTTTTTCCTGCTGACTATGTGGGACCCGTTACAAACTTCATCAGGATTTGGATAAAGCGTTTTTTTCCCTCCCAGCATGCATAGCTTTCATGTGAGCAATGCACACTTGTGGTCTGTCATTATCTGCATGTCAGCAATATTCTATCGGGGAGGCAGCCAGTGACCCCTGTCCTCTCTTTACACTTACTGCATTTGTTGAATATCAGGATCTGGCTTCAGTTTAAAGGGATTTTTTTTTCTCATTTCCATCTGTGTTTCATAGAGAAAGGATGTCCCCCCTGGCTCTTTGCTGAGCTTTCATCTTCCTTCTTCTTCCAAAGAATGTGCCAGAGAACCATTCAAGCTGCATGGACTCCTGACAGGGGGGAGGAAGCTTTTCTCTGCTTGTTGAAAATGCTTCTTAAGAAGCAGAGTTACCTCAACGACTTCTCATGGAGGGGACCACAGTTTCTTGTATGTGAGTCCTTCTATAGGGGCTATGACAGGTGCTTCAGTGCTTTAAATTAAGAGTTTACAAAAAAAAAAAAGAAATATGGAACATATTATTTTCTTCTATTTGTATCGAGGTGACATAGAGCATATAGGGGTCTATTGAAGAAAACAATTAACATAGCTATTCATCCAGCAAAACTGCATGTTAAATGAACACTCATTCTGTGCGAATTAACCAACTGTTGTGAGAATGGGGCAAAATCGAATGTTCTAATTTTCTCTTCTGGTCAAATGTTCTTCAGATATTATTGGGAGAAGTGAATTAGGACGGCTTTTCTCCTCTGTGGCTGCTTTAGAAACAAAGCAATCTGTAAGACATGGCACACCTTTTGTTTTTATATATCTGGAATGTATTTAGAAGATTTAAAGGAGAACTATGGGGTTAGGGCTTTTCCCCATAGTTCTCCTTAGGGTAACGGGAGGACACAAACTAGCGTCCTCCCGTCACCCTAAGCTCAGTATACCGCGAGCTACAACTCGCGGTATACTGAGACGCCCCAGCTGAAGCAGATCCCGACAATTATGTCTGGATCCGCCCAGCTGCGTGAGTGACAGCTGGCTCTGCCTATCTAGAGGCAGAGCCAGCTGTACCCGCCCCCTCCCCCGTCCGTTCCGCCAGTCAGCGCTGGCAGATCGGAGCGGGGA